GAAATAAATGGTTCAGTTCGACATTCTAACCAGCTGAAGAAGGCCGGAGCGTACAACAGCCGAAACGTTGTAATAAATATGGCGACAAAGATGAGGACAATAGTCCGAATAATGTAAATAATGTCACTAATCGAATAGGTAGGGCGTGGTCGATAGAATTTTTCTGGTATGGTGAGTCTTGGCCGTGGAGGTTAGAAGTGGTGGAACTAAGGCATGAACACAATGTAAATAGCGAGAGAGTAATAGCACGTGGCTTGCAAAATTGCGTCTGTTGGGGGTTGTAGATTTGGAAAATCATTCATCACCCACAAGGACGCGGAGATGTTTTTGGTCTCTATCGATACTGGAAAGTGAAGACTATATTAAAGGAAGAGACTTGTAACATGGCAACTTCATTAAATCGATCAAGTCGATAGTGTCCATTTTCCGTGGAAATAGCCATAGACTAGTAGCACGAGGCTTGCGATATTGCATCTGCGATATTGCGTCAGTTTCTAAACGTGTGAATAGCTTTTTCGACGACAGAAAAGGAAAGTTCTTTTTTTGCATTGCATCGTGACCGGCGATGAAAAGTTGATCCACATCGGCGGCAAAGCCGAATATCCACGGTTAGAAGCTTCTACTCTGGATTTGGGGGAATCAGCTGGCTGTAGTTTATTATGAGCAGGATGGAAAATCATTCAACCCCCACACGCTTTTTATCTCTATCGAGACTGGAAAGTGAAGACTATATTAAAATAGTTTAATGAAATCCCATAACCACATTGGAAGAGACTTGTAACATCGTAAATTCATTGTATCGATCAAGACGATAATTTCGTGAGTTAATTCCTTACAATAGTCCAAGGGTTACGAGAAAATATATATATATATATATATATATATATATATATATATATATATATATATTCACGATATATATATGTGGCACCATTTAACGAGGCAGAAAAGGAAAAGAAAGAAAAGAAGAAAAGGAGAGGCTAAGGACCGAATCGTGGATGATAATCAGAACACACACACGGCTAAGAGGCAATGGATAAGGTATATTTTGATAAGTAACAAATGGCGAAAGAGTGTCATTACAATGACAGGGAAATTCTGAGTAAAAAGAAAGGGAAAGAAAGAAAGAATCAGATATGTTTTGGCGACGGCTGTGTTATCTAAGCATATGAAAACAAACTATTGGTACGGGAAGGCATCTTATTATCAACTACAGGCCGACTGGCCAAAGAAAAATTCAAATGAAAATGTTATTTCGATAAGTGACGAAAAACAGCCAACTAAAAGGACTTTGGATAGATAGGAAAAATTAATTGTATCAAAGCCACACACACGACTGTCCATTGACCGAATTCTTTCGACGGAACATCCTTGGCCTGCGATAATAAAATTATGTTATCAGAAATATGTACCGAAGGGAAATGAATGGGAATTTAGAAATGTCTTTTCGGGGCGACGTTGGCCGTGTTAAGAAAACCACCCATTCGGATAATTAGCGATAAAATACCTGACGAAAACCACGTGTAGAACAAGAGTTATGACCGCCATTGTTCATATTGTCCCGTTTGCGGCTAGAGAAATGATAACGGCGATTAAGAGGATGTTGTGTATGATACACCTAATTTACATAAGCGGACTACCGACCATATAAATATGGGTTGGTACCGGAAGACGGGGAAGATAGTAGAGATTAAGAAATTGAATCCAGAGACTCTGCCCGACTGCGATTTAGTCAACCCATTATGCAGGAACAGTCTTCCCAAGAATATACCAAACTAACTGTAAATATTGTGTACCTATTCTTTGTTTCAATACATTTTGTTAACGTACATTTTGTGTTGTATTATTCCATGCTTATTTAAGCTTCAACAGAGGAAGAAAAGGAAAAGAAGAATTTTTTTTAGTTAAGCAAGATATTTTTTTCTTCCTGAAACAAAGCCGCGGATTCGTCCACGCCCGATTAAGACATCATTGGTCAAGTGGTGATCACGTGACGCACGAAGGAGGCTGTCGCCCCCATCCAGAGTGTAGGTATGAGAAGCTGCTACGAAGAAGTGGGGAGGGAAGTTCACGCCCTCTGAAGTATGGTGATTAGGTGGGAGTGAGGAAAGTTTCCCAAAAATGTCAAAAAGTGGAAATTCCTAACCAGAGAGATGGATATGTATTTAGAATTATCGAGGAAAGCCCGACGCCGACAGACCCACCCCGGTTTTGGTCGGCGCCCATATAAGCGAAGCCACAACGAGCAGAAATCTGTTCCAGTGAGTTCAGTTCCAGAAAAGTTTGAGTTGAGTCTCCAGTTGAAGCCGCGTCGCAGATAGCTGACAAAGATTCACGCAAATTCCGGACTCCTCTTCAACCCAAGAACAATTATTTTGAAGAGCGACTTAGATCCAGATCACCGAAATAAGTTTTTTTCGACTTTCGTTCGAAGACACACCGAAAAACCAATTTCTTAGAGAGCAAACAACTTGAAGCGTTAAAACTTGCCTGACGGAAA